CCCCAAAACCCCAAAACCCCAAAACCCCAAAACCCCAAAACCCCTGTCAATGATGGAGCTGTTGAAATTATACTTTAGAAGCATCTTTACTGCTTTCTTGGATCGGCTCTTCTTCATTCTGAGAAATGGCTTCTTTCTTATCCGATTCTGGCTTATCAAAAGAATTATGAGCCTCTCTTGTAATCTCAACCCCCTCGTCATCTTCGTTAGAGGTGATGAAGATGTTCTTAGCTTGGTTTATTTCCTCAACAGGCTTAAGCTTTTTGGCACTGCCTGATTTATTCCCATCCTTGCTTGAGTTAGTCATATTTTTGGAGTAAATATCTGTCGGTAAATAGCCTTGAGATGCAGAACTTCTTCCCTTAGTTCTTTTCTGCGTTTTCTTACCAGAGTTCATCGACTGAGTCAGGGCTAATAAGCTCTTATTTCTAATAGGCTTGATGTTCTTAGCATTGCTGAACTGATTTAGTGCAAAGCCAAAGGCAGAATTGATTCTATTTCTGTACACGATCCTTTGAGACACTACCTCCGGTTTCGAGGTCTTCTTTAGGAATTGACACAAGATTTTTAGTCATTTTGTCAAATTCTTTCGTTCCAGTCTTGTTATTTATCTTCATGGTGTAGTACATTTCTTTGTAGTAGTGGATCTTCATCTGGTCGATCATTTGGTTGGTGTATTTGTTTTCCATTAAATTTCTTTTCTGGATCTCATATTCCTCAGCTTTCTTCTGCTCCCTTTTAAGCTTACGACTGAACTGGACTCTCTTTTGCTCAAGCTTTTTCAGATACCTCTGTTTAACCATTTCTTTGCGCTTATTCTTCTCCTCATTAGCAATTTTGAGCTGCTCAGTAGCCTCTTGTCTTGCTTTTTGACGTTGCTTAAGAATTTCTTCATTCCTGTGTAACTTTATCAACTGGTCTTCTTTTTGCTGGAGGTACAGTCTTTCTCTCTGGAGCTTGATCCTCTCCTTCGGGTCAGTCTCATCTTTCTTATGGCCGAATGGCTTCTCAGTTGTAGCTAGTATCAAGTCATGCTTCATTTTCTCATAATTTTGTTCCTCTTTTTGTAATTTCTGGAGTAATTTCTCACATTTTTCCTTATTCTGTTGTTCAATCTTGAGCTTGTTCTGTCTGAGGCGTTCTTCATTAGAGGTCTCGGTCCTTGAATGGTTTCTTTCCTTGAGTCTCTCAACACGTTGGTTTATATCTTCAAGCTTTTTCTGTAGCTTGGTCTCTTTCAAGCGATGAGTTTTAGAAACTTTCTTCTTATATTTATCAAGCTTCTTCATATATTTCTCGTTCTTTTTGGAGAATTTCTCATCTAGTTCTTTACGTTCTATATGGAGGGTTAACAAGGGCTTACTGGCATCCTGGATTCTTCTGGTCTCTTCCTGGTCAAGGATATGGTTCAAGAATTCTACCTTGTATTCATTTTTGTTAGCTAATTTCTGTATAGACTTATTTTTGAACGTACTTTTTATCATAAATTTCTCTTCTTCTTGTTTTTGAAGCATGCTTTTGATCTTTTTGTTGGTGGCTTTGTTGCTGAGCTTATTTCTCCTCCAAGGCTTTCTGGGCAAGGATTAGGTTTTCTTCAAGTTCTTTCTCCTCGATCTGCCTCTTTTTTTGTTCGATTTCAGCTTCTTTTTGGAGTATGTGTCTTAAAGCCTTGTCTCTTCTTGATTCAAACAGAGCCAAGCTTTGCATGTGCTTTGGGTTTATTAACCCCTGAGTTTCAAGTTTTTTAATTGCAGTTAGACTTCGAGAGCTCATTATAATTTTTTATTTTATTTATGGGGTTTTGGGGTTTTGGGGTTTTGGGGTTTTGGGG